GAGCGGGCTCTGCCTGGAAACCTTCGTAGCCTCAAACCAACGTTATAACCCCCCCAATTTATATCAGTAGTGCCTATCGCTACTCCCCGCCAATTTTTTTTCTCTCTCTTCGGAATTTATTAATCAGGAAAATGGTGAGATAAAAGTAAAGTATGAGTACACCGCCATGTTGGTAGCAATAAACAACCATGCTATTCAGATACAGGGAGCTTTGGAAAAAGTATTAATGCAATGTCTTAATCCAGTCGTGCCTAAACGCAAAACAGGGGATCATGCAGCCACAGCTATTGTCACCAAGCCATTTGACTGAGATTCTGAAAACCAGTCAGGATAGCTTCCCCCGCGACTTATAAGTACTTGCTACACTGAGGGAAGCTTACCTGTACCAATTAGTTAATATTGTAAGCATAAAGTGTATATAGTAGATCATGATCTTGTATATGTGGTAAAGGTGCCATTAGCAATTCATTATGTATTTGATGTGTACAAGGTTTCACTATTTTCCATGAAGGTTAAGGACACAATTAACAAATTTACATTTATTCAGCCTGAGAAAGAGTATATCATGGTGGACACCACAAAACAATTTTATGCAAGATTACATCAGAATGAGTTAAGTGTATGCAAAAGGGTAAATGATGACAGGTTAGTATGCAAGCAAGATTTTCCTTTGCAAATCAGTCACTCAGCAAATGATTGCGAGGCCCAAATTTTACAACCAATTAGAGTCATACAAAAGAGTTGCACACAAAGAATTTTAGAATTAAGAGAAATGCTTTGGACACCGCTAAAGGACAATTCATGGATATACGTGGCACCCTCAACAGATCACCTGACCGTCACTTGCCCTTACCAGAACCCTTCACAAATTGAAATAAAAGATGGCGGAATATTGACGTTTTTAGCGGACTGTACCGAATATGATAAAAAGGTCATGATTAAATCCGTCACGACGCATTATGTAAACAGCACAAAAAAAGGATATTATCCCCCATACAATTGGAAATTAAATGCTGCGAAACGGAAATACCTATAATTAATTTGAATGACCTACAACTGGAGTCACAGATAAGGAACATGCTTACGTATAACGAGTTGAAAATAGCTAGTTATAAAATTAAGGACGTAGAAAAATTGATAAGGGATCAGGAATGGAAAATAAAACATTCCGCAAGGACAACGCAGTTCTCGGTATTAGCAACTATTGGTTCTGTGGTATTAGGGTTACTAATCAGTATATTATGTTGTTGTTGCTGCTGTAAATGTTGCAGAAATTGTTGGCCGAAGTTTATGAAATGGATTACGAAAGCTGACAGTTGTGGAGCAATCATATTTAAATATAGAATTATAAATAATGTGCATGTATCTAATGACAGTCATCGCAGACAGGGAATAACACTCAGCCTCGACACAAATGTGGACACAGCCGAGACGAGTGGTGAAGTAACAGAATTACCTCCGACGAACGTTGTTGCAACCCCCAGCCTAACCAGGTCCAGTAGTAAGACGTTAACCGTAGGAAAAAGGTAATGGCCACTATACAAAGATTGTCTAATAACAGTTAAATTGTATTAGCCAATCTCCCTTATGGAGGGAGGTTCGTATCTGAGGGTCACGAACCACATATTGGGAATGTATGCTATTATTAAGCTGTTATTTGTAATAATATTTCGTAAATATTAGAAAGATGTTATTATGGAAGCAAACAAAAGTAGGTATTGCGGTCGAAGGAAGTAAACACCCCTATTTTAAAATTAGACTTTGAAATACCAGATGGCACGTAAACATGTATATTTACAACAACCCTCGAACTGGGAAAGCATGTGATGTTGAGACAAAGACTCCGAGGCAGAGAAACTGAGAATAATTTGGTACCCTACGTCACGGAAATTTCTCTATTGAAGAACTTATATAGCTCTCGAAAATTCGATCAGTACTTTCCCAGTGTAGCCGTAAACAAGCTATATTTACCACAAACATGGTGACACCACGATTCCTAAAGTCCACTTTCTAGTCCGGCTACCAAGATAGATACATCAGTTTCAATATACATGATGGGGGTAAACAATAGCAAAGAACTGAATATAGCAAGGTCCAAGAGGCGAACATTCTGTAAACTATTTGTGATATTTAGGAACTTTCCAGAAAGGTATGGTAGGTGGCTGTGGTTTCTCGTATTTTAACATTCGCAACAAGGTGAAAAATAAATAAACATTTATTTTTTATAACCTAACATCAGTGCGTAAGAGTCCATTGTAAGTTTCGTAAAAGCACCAGCATAAAACATGGTGTCCGCTCCATAATAAGCCCCCCCCCTTCTAACTCATACTGTCATGTCAGACGAAGTGAATCCTCAGCGAAAGGTCGGCACTGCCCAAGCTCAGGTAGAAGTGAAATTTTTGTAATCAATCAGTGTTCGGCTGTTTCCAGCCAATTACCTTGTAATAAATATCTATTAGCTGTTATATTCCAGCATTATTAGCAAAGAAGCTCCACCTGCACTCCCAAGAATCCGCTCGCCTTAGCCAACCTATAATCACAGGCCGGGATACAATAGTATCCTTTTGAAGAGATAACCAGAAAACTAAACATTAATATCTACCAATATCAGTAGATGGACTCTGGATGAACGCTTTTCTGAGGAAACATAAATCAACTGTTAGCAAAACAAAACGTCGCTTTTGGTCTCGTAGACACATCTAACACAGCAGAAAAAGGTTTACTGAGCGCTTAAGGGACGCCTCTACAAGATCCACTCCAGAATCACTACACCGTCGAAGAGGATAGATTCCATCCGAGGCTATTCATGGCACGTTTACACCTAAAATAAACTGCGTATTGCCAGGAAAATTAACTGACCCCACGGCCATTCCCCATTGCGTACGCATGGGCCCAATAGATCTAACACAAGGACTATATTAATATTAGCCGCAAGCTAAAGGACCCAGCTCAGACAAAATATGTTCACCTGCAACTGTAAACGGTGTCAGTTGAAACTTGTACTACCAGTCACAGATCAATAAGGACACTTCGGTAACTAAAAATAAATCAAATTGAGGACATGATTTATTGCAGGTGACGAATGTTGAAGTCAAGACCTTAAAATTTCAAACCAAATGACGAAACGGTAGGCGTGTGAGGTGTAAACGTTTAACCCACGAGATTAATGAACTTGATTATGAAATTTTTTGGCAGAGAAAGTAGGTTACATTGGAAATGCGATAAGTAATAAGACACAAGGAGCAGCATTTAAGGAAGGGGGAGAGATCGGTCAGTGATGGAGCTAACATTACAAAAGAAAATGCCAATGTATTTTATGAAGAGGGTGACTGAATTTGGCAGCACAAACGTAGGAAATCCTTACGAGTAATACGTAAAGTAAGAAATGTAATAAAAGAAGAAATTGGTGGTTATACGTGGTGACGTTACCTTTATCCCGCCCTGTTCTTTCCTACATTTTCCTTGTGTCACCCTGTTCTAACCTCACTTTTTAGCGCCCTGTTCTTTCCTACATTTCCCTTGTCACCCTGTTCTAACCTCACTTTTTACCATCAGAATGCGCCCTCGTCTTCTTTTATTTTCCTACGTTATAGGGGGACCACGGTGAGTCTCTTCCATTTCTTTCGGGCAAAATTGGGTGTTTTGCGACTTAGAAAGTGCGGCAGAGAGCCGACACAAATTCCCGGGACTCGTTTGCTGTTACATCATTCTGTTCTGCGTGTCATTAGTCTCCATTTTACATGTATGTTTGGTTTCTATTCTCCTAATGAATAATAGTCTTATTTGCATCTTGGTCAACAAAATGTAGTTTTATAAAAGTCTGAGTCTGTGTGCATTTCAACAGTAACAACCCAAAGAAAACAATATTGGTCATTAACAGGAGTAAGAATGGTAGAGTTTTAAATGCAGTAAGTTCCAGTCGCATCCCATACCAAACGCAGATACAGTGGCGACTTTTCATGGTTGCCGTTACTTTACGGCACTTGATTGTTTCAATGTATTTTTACACGTGAAAACTGCAGAAAAACATAAGGAGAAAATTTCATTCAGTGCACCATCAAGGCATTATGAATAAAATAAATTTTTATGTTTTGAACCTATTCAGTTCCAACACAACATTACTTCTAGACAGACCTCCTCCACTCTTCATATCTGACCGATTATAAAAAACCACTACAAACATTTCACCCACGCAAGGTCACGCTATACGCGACATACATTTACGAAACAATATTGAATGTGATAATAAAATACAATTGATCTAGAAGAGGATAACTTTCTGATAAATAATGGACATCTGACGAAGGATTGCATTTAGAATATTGCATTTGAGTTTATATCGAGTATATACCTGAAGATGGTTCATTGAAAACCGAAACATGTCGTGAAAATGATGATGCTCTAATTGTAAATCGAACATTTCGATAGAAAGAGCATCATTTTAATATATTTTAATATATTTTAAATATTTTAAATATTAAATGTTAATTATAGTAATATTTTAATATTTAATAAAATATTTTATTGTGATTAG